CCAAAAATACCTGCGATCTTATGTAAGCTTTGTTCCATCCATGAGTATATACTCGGATCACCATAAAACCCATTCAACAGAACTTCACAGGCCAAATCATCTCAAAAATGACGCCGATTACGGGGTTGTCCAGAAACCGAAGCATTTCAGTGCAATGATGGTATGGCACTGCCATGTCCTGTTTGCAAGCACACACGCAACTATGCGCTTCTCCCTCTTACCCTATCGCCCACTTGTTCCATCACCTGCAACTACAAATAAACTTACGCTTCATTCAGACTAACCTTATGATGACGCCTGGCGGTACGTCACCCACCTGTTTTAATGAACATCAAAACGATAACGTGACACTGGGTGCAAAGTGCACACCAAAAGACAGCATCATTATAATCTGTTTGTTCTGCCCACAAACCCAATAGTTAATTCATTGGAAAGGTTGGTGGCTCGGTATGTCAGTGAAGATCAAACCTTGCCTTAAGTAGGATATAACGTATGCTGACCACCATAAAAAACAAAGAACTTACGCATTGTGACGAAATCTTTGGCCTCTTAGGAATGTTTGCCGCAAACATAGAATCTTTCTTACTCAGGTTGCGAATGCACGCTCCAATTTGAGTTTGCGCAAACGTAATGGGCGTGATTATTGTCTAAGCCGTTTTGAGGTTGTTTTCCAAACCTAATACGTGAGAAAACACACACAAACCAGCTTTTATACTGAGTTCCCCACGATTTTCATAGAGATGACGGGCAGAGCCACCGACAGCCATTAAATGAGAATTCCGCACCCACAGCGGGCCCCGAGTTCGTTTAACCGACTTCTAATAAAACTGAAGCCGCGTGGGGAGATCTTAGACTCCCAAATAATTAACATTAAATGCTAAAACTTTATTTCAAGGTTTTCCTATTTAGGATCACGGTGTCAGAGAAATTTTGGGTGTGCGCCTAGGACGCGGCGAGCTGGGAGGGCATTCCCTTTATAATACCCGCCTAATTGATTGTCGTTTAGGGCAGACGTACAGAAATCAGAAGGAATCCAGTGTACAAGCAAGAGCCTCCTGGTTCCGAGCTTGCCTTAGTGTGTGTTAGGCGAAATTCCACACCGCTACCGCTTTAACGCTTCGAGTATGCGCTGCTACCATGCGCTGCCTATCCACCGGAGATATTGGCCTGAAGATCTGGGCGCTTCTGTGTCCGAGCTCTGATTGGTCAAAATCCTGCTGTAGTGGACTAGAACCTAATCAGCGTGTTCGGACAAATTAACACCGATCCAAAGTAGTAACTGGCTGTGAAAGGAAAATATTAACTCGTCGAGATTTCAAGCAGATGGTTCCGTGTGAGTGATATATTCCACGGTTGGAAAATTGTTCACGGCTAAAAACTGTCACAGGGATTTATTGTGACGTTCAACAGTTGACACAAACACAGAGATTGAGTCCCAGTGGTGCAGCAGTCAGCAAACAGTTCAACGGGGCGTAAATACAGTCGTTCAGCAAGAAGTCAGCAGGTCGCGCCGGAAAATTGGGCATTCGTAACATTAAAACAAACGTCATGATACAATATGTACGACAGTTACAAAGTGTGGTTTAAGTTCAGGAAGGATGGTAAATGTGACAACGGATTACAGACACTACAATACTTCCCCCTACAGCGTCAGGAATAAAGAAAGGGAATGACGCTGGATAATGTGACAAAACTAAAGGAGTGTAGTCTGCAAAGCGAACAGGAGTCTTACAGGTTCGACCAACACATGTTTGCTACAGGATATGTGACGGGTGATCGTCAATACGTCGTGCTATATGTTCGGGGTTCCCTGGGATGACTGTACTGGAGCTTTTGAGAACTTGTGTGTAACGTGACTACAGTAGGGGGATCTGAGTGAGATTCGTCGTCGATGAATGCAACTTTGAGTCTGTCGATACTGACGGAGTCCGGTTTTCCGTTCCTCTCAATCACAAAATATTTGTCCTTGCGGGAAATGACTTTAAACGGACCATCATACGGATATTGCAACGGTCGTTCGACGCTGTCAACACGGACAAATACATGTGTACAAGAAGATAAACTGGGATCTACCGGATTCCCGAGTGTCAGACGGGCGAACAGTACGCATATGATCCTGCAGTCGACTGACGTATGTCGATGGTGAGAGGTCTTCATTGGGTGTGGATACACATACCATATCTCCGGGAAGACGTAGCGTTTGTCCTTAGACAAGTTGGGCTGGAGTGCAACCAATATCCTCCTTCGCCGTATTGCGGATACCAAGTAATATCACTGATATCGATTCGGTCCACAGCTGTGATGATGATTTAGCCATAATGGCGGCTTTCAGGTGTCGATGAAGACGTTCGACTGAGCCGTTGACTGCGGGATTGTAAGCTGTAGTTTTGAAAAGATTGCATTCCAATAGGTGGTTCAGTTCACGAAACAAGGAACAGGTAAACCGACTCCCACGATCTGTAGTGATGCTCTCAGGGACATCAAAATGGGATATCCAAGAATCGACAAGCTGTCTGGCAACGGTTTCGGACGAACAATGGCGCATGAAGGTCGCTTGAGGCCAGCATGTGAAGCGATCGACTATTGTTAACACATAGGAACATTCATTGGATTGTGGAAGTGGTCCAACGATGTCTACATGTATATGCTGGAAACGGCGTGCAGGCAAGTTGAAACTTCCGGGCGGCGTAACCGTGTTTGTGGACTTCACTCAGTTGACAGGTTTCGCACTGTTTTGCACATTTCCGGATTTCCTTCTGCATACCAGGACACAAGAAACGTTCACAAATTAATCGAGCGGTGGAACGGATACTCGGGTGTGAAATAGAGTGGAAATGCGTAAAGACTGATCGACGATATTTCTGAGGCACAAATGGACGAGGTTTACCAGTGGACATGTCACACAGAACTTTAGAATCACAGTTTAAGAGCGGCATATTAACGAACTTCAGGGAAGGATGTGATCTAAGCTCTTGTAATTCTTCGTCCTGCTTTTGGCTCTCAGCTATTAATTGCAGATCGAACGGAGCGTGTACCAAGTGGTTTATATGGGCACGGGATAAGGCATCTGCAACTAAATTGCTGCGACCACTAATATGCCCGGATGTCACTAGTGAATTGGCTGATATAATCCAACTGCCTAATTTCCCTCGGTGAATAACGATCAGATGTCGCGTTGAGTGCAAAAGTGAGCGGCTTATGATCTGTGAGAATCACGAAGTGTCGGCTTTCCAAAATATGTCGGAAGTGCCGAACAGCTAAGTAGATTGCGAGAAGTTCACGGCCAAAAGTGCTATATCGAGTCTGTGCAGGTTGTAAGCGATGCGAGAAGAATGATAAAGGCTGTATTTCACCGTTGACCTCCTGTTGTAGAACCGCGCCAACTGCAGTTTGTGAGGCATCAGTAACCAGGAAAAGAGGTGTAGACGGATCAGGATTTATATGTGCCAAATTGGTTGCCTGATTTAACACTTCCTTAACCGTTTCAAATGACGCAATGGCCTCCGCTGTAAGGGTGAAATTGCGCGTTTTCAGTCTGAGTAGGTCGGTGAGCGGTTGGACAACCTCGGCACAGTTAGGGATAAAGCGACGGTAGTAATTGATAAGGCCAAGGAAACGTCTCAACTTCTTAATGCTGTTGGGAGCTGGAAAGTCGCAAATGGCGGAAACTTTAGATGGCAGAGTACGGATGCCGTCTGAGTCAACAATATGTCCTAGAATTTCTAGTGACGAAACACCAAATTGGCATTTACTACTATTGATGACTATACCATATTGCTGAAATCTTTCAAAAACTTGCTTTAAGTGAAGCACATGCTCGTCTTCTGACCGACTGGCGATAAGTACATCGTCGATATAAGCGTAGACAAAGTCTAATCCCCGTAAAACTTGATCCATGAATCGTTGAAATGTTTGAGCTGCATTTCTGAGCCCAAATGGCATACGAACGAATTCATATAGACCGAATGGAGTGGTGATAGCCGTTTTGGAAATATCGTCTGGAGCGACAGGTATCTGGTGATATGCTCTGACGAGGTCTAATTTACTGAAGACAGATTTGCCGTGAAGAGTAAGGGCAAAATCATGCAGATGCGGAATTGGGTATTTGTCCGGGATGGTGACACGATTTAGTGCACGATAATCGCCACATGGTCTCCAATCTCCCTCGGACTTTTTGGGGACCATATGCAGTGGAGATGACCAGGGGCTGCTTGATGGTCGTATGATACCCAGTTGAAGCAAATGCTGAAATTCTGTCTTGGCTATGGCAAGCTTCTCCGGAGCTAACCTCCGTGGACGGGATGCGGTGGGTGGGCCTTTTGTCGAGATATGGTGGAAAACGTCATGTTTTACGGAAGTGGTCTTGGAAGCAGGTTTCAGGATCTCTGGGAATTGGCGAAGCAGTGCTGTGTAACGGTTATCCGGCAAAGCTGGGCGGATTCCAATAGAATTAATGGATGAAGCTTTGCCATTTATGGAGAGAGTTGTCGAATTGTCAAGCAACTGCCGTCTGTGGAGATCAACCGTGAGACCAAATGACGTGAGAAAGTCCATACCAATAATGGGTTTTCTAACGTCAGCCACTGTGAAAACCCAAGGGAACTGACGACGAAGACCTAGATCGAGAGTAAGAAGCTTTTCACCATAGGTCTTAATGCTCGTACCGTTGGCTGCCTGCAGAGTATATGCCACCGGCCGTAGGTTATGCTTGCGTGTAGGAGGAATTACACTAACCTCAGCACCGGTATCAATGAGGAAACTCAAGGACGTGGAGCGGTCATACACGAAGAACAGGCGACAGGTAGAGGAACCGGTTGCAGTGGTCGCCACTACTGGCCGGCCACGGCGTTTTCCGAATTCGAAGGCTTTGTGGAGAAAGTGCGAAATCTGGTGCATCGGATAGCGCGGTCGCCGAAGCGACGGTGGTAGTAGCACTAGCCAGGTTGGTCACTGTGCTTGGGAGCACGGCTGTGGGATCGAGACCTAGAACGTCCATGTTGTTAAGGGCGACCAACGGGTCTCATGACTTCATTCGGTTGGAGGGATAACTCAGAAAATTGAGCTTTCATTGCACTGAACTCGACCTTCATGTTAGAGTGCGAAGTGGATTGTTGCTGAACGTTAGAGACCACGAATTGTCCGCAGGTTTCATGGACGCGATCAGCCACCTCGGCTAACTTCGCCAAGGAAGAACCTTGCTCGATTACGGAAATGACTTTACAAACTTCGATGTGCAGGCTTTGTTGCCAAATTTCTTTCAAAACCGCATCGTTGACCGGATGCTTACCTTGCAGGTGCATCATGTGGCGGAGATGTTGTGACGGTGTTTTATCGCCGACGTCAACACCGGAGAGAAGCTTCCGCAGATTCTGCTCACCGCTGTAAGCGGTACGAGAAATGATAGCTGCTTTGAGAGCATCGTACGGATCGGTGGACGGTCGGGTGTATATTAAATCAGAGACTTCTCGGGCAACGAAGTCTGGTAAGCATCCCACCACATAATTGCATCTGCTACTCTGCGAGGTACTGCAACGCGATTCGAAAATGGCCTCAAGTTGGGCGAACCATAGCCTCGGATGACGTGTACCGAATTCAGGCAACTAAACGTAAACCACGTTGTCTATTTCGGATGTCCGTGTCTGTTCGGAAGCCATGCTGAATGGGAAAATAAGTATAATAAAGCACGTGAGTACTTCAGAGAGAAAAAATTAAGGAATGATTCGGGCTCACCAATTATGTAGCGGACTAGGACATTATCAGCGTTTTCGGATAAATCAACAAGCAAAAGTAACCAATGCAAAATCACAAAATCACAATAGGAAAGGAATGAGTAGTCAAATGGGTACTCACGAATACGTAGGTCCAGTAGTCCACTACACCGATCCAAATGTAGTAACTGGCTGTGAAAGGAAAATATTAACTCGTCGAGATTTCAAGCAGATGGTTCCGTGTGAGTGATATATTCCACGGTAGGAAAATTGTTCACGGCTAAAAACTGTCACAGGGATTTATTGTGACGTTCAACAGTTGACACAAACACAGATTTAGTCCCACTTGTTCTGCAGTCAACAAACAGTTCAACGGGGCGTAAATACAGTCGTTCAGCAAGAAGTCAGCAGGTCGCACCGGAAAATTGGGCATTCGTAACATTAAAACAAACGTCGTGATACAATGTGAACGACAGTTACAAAGTGTGGTTTAAGTTCAGGAAGGATGGTAAATGTGACAACGGATTACAGACGCTACACTTTACCCAACAGCCAATCATGACCCAGTATCGGCCAATTGCGGGTTGCCATATGGCGCTTCCAGAAAGCACATGGATTTCCAGGTCTTCGCTGCGTACTTTTGTATGTATGACGCGTTGTAGTGTTCTTGACTTGATTTTAGGCGTTAATACACGTTGCGCACCTTTGGTGGTTGGGAGGTTCGGACCGAGAACTAATCTGAGGAGAATATTGGTAACCGTCGTTATAACTCGAGTTACACCCCTAGCAGCACAACTCGGTTATTAGTCGGTTATATGGCGGTTAAAGTCGGTTATATGACGGTTATTTAACCGTGTAGCTATCATCCAATCAACATGAAGTGTTGTTGCCACACTTTTTCACATAAGTTTTTCTTATCACACAAAGTGTTGGCATAAACCAAAAGTGCATTATTCCAATAGATTTTAAGAAACCCGTTCTGACACTTTCTT